GACACTTTTTCATCTTCTTATTGTCATACAGCGCCACAGCCAAACTGTACCCACTGGTAACTTAAAAAGCTGTAACTGCTGTTATTGCTAGGTTTGGTTTCGTTTTGACAGGGTCTTGCCATGTAGTTCAGGAGGCTGGCCTGAAGCTCGCTGGACAGCCCAGGCTGGCCTCACACCTGCACCCCGCCTCAGTCTCCACGATGCTGGGATCACAGGCGTGTGCCACCACACTTGGCTATAACAGCTATTGGTGAAAGCTATAATAACACGTACATTTTACATGTTTTAAATAGATTGCAGGGTTTTTGTTGTTGTTTTTTGGTACCAGGGATCAAACTCAGGACCTTGCACTTGCCAGGCAGGTGCTTATGCCGCTGAGCTATATCCCCAGCCCACTGGATTGCACTTTTTATGACATTAAAACTTGTATAGACTTTTGAGTTTTAGGTAAAACTTTAAGCCTATTTTGTTCTCCAAGTTTAATGGTTTGGCGTAGTTGTTTGTGCTGTGAGTTTTATTTGCACTACTAATGTCATGTTTATTCACTGAGGGGCTTTAATTACCTCAGATACTTAAAGCTTTTTTTTTTTCCAAGTTTATAGCATAATCTTAAAAATTTACTAGTTCAAATGGTACTCTGAGTACAAATAGAAATCCAGAGAGACTTATTTCTTGTCAGTCTCAGCATGATTATAATTTTCCAAAGTCATTTCATCAATGAAGGGTTTTTTGGCTTAGTTTGAACTTAACAGCCTATTTAAAAATGCAGAGTTAATGTCTTTGGTAAGTTTAAAAGCAGTGCCGAGGGCTGAGGGTGTGCTTGCAGGAAGGCCATTGGGTTAGCCTGCATGGGGCCCTGGGTTTGATCCACAGCATGATGACAGTAAAGGAAAATACAGCCCAACACAAATAAAATAAAATAAAAGCTATGTTGAAATGTTCAAATATGCCATGTGGATGCATGAAAGTTCTTAAACTGAAATGTTGATAAGAGGGGAGAAAATATGTTGCCTAATAATGAAATATGGGGTCATTTTCCTTTCCAAAGACAAAATATGTGAAGAGTTCCATCATGTTCTTCCACGGTTGCTGACGTAGCCATATGTATTTGTAGCTCAGTCTTGAACTTCTAGAATAGGCTGCCATCTGCTTTTTTCTCTGTGTCTGCAGGTTCGTCCCCTTTTGGATAGTTTTTCCACTTTACTGAAATGATCTCTCTAGTTCTGGTTTGTTTTTTGGCCGTGTCCTAAGAGTTATGATGGTCATGAACTGTAGGCATTTTGATGAGCACTAATATTTTTAGTATAATGCAAAATAAGCAAAACTCATGGGTTGTTTGTAATTGTGTGGGATCGTGGTGATGTTTAAAGCTCTGCAGACCGTGGAATGTATTAATGAGTGATTACAGGACAGTTGACATGGGTTTAATGGTAAAATTATTTTAAACTAATTCACTGTGCTTCTTAGTAATTTAAATTACCTAAAACTTATATTTAAAATGTTCCATTATGTATTTTCTCTGTATTATCAGTTACTATATTTTGTTCAAGAAATCATTTTATATTTAAATTTTGTTCTGTCATATTTATTAGTATTAGTTCATAGTTATGAGTAGTCAAAGTGTTAAAATTAGATTCGAAATATCTCCTAGCTTCCTTAGGAAGTAAATGAATGTTTTGCAGGTTGATAATGCAGATAGAATTTCACATGGACAGAGGTGCCTGGACCTCACACAGTCCTGCCTCTGAGTAAATTTCTCCCCTACTGTGGACCGCTGCAGCAGCCCACAGGCGTCCTCTGCAGCTCTTAGGGAGGGGCCTGAGGATGCTGCGCACTGCGGTTGACTGTAGTCTTAGACTGAGTCAAGTATGGCTAGCGCTTCATTTATTCCTCGGGGTGGGCATCGAGTGATTGGAACATTTGGAAAAGACCAAGTACATTTTAAAAAGAACTATAATAAAGGAAATAAACATTTAATTTCATTTAGTAAAAGTCAAAAGTTGAGGCTGCGCATCATTTGGCTTCTTATGTCTTCAGTCTTTTTCTTCTTTTTGGTGTGGGTGGGGCTCTTTTTGAGACAGGGTCCCACCGTGCAGCCAGGATGGCTGTGAACTCACCCTGGTAGCCCAGGCTGGCCTGGATGGAAGTCATGGCGCTCCTGCCTGAGCCTGCTGCACAGGCCAGCACACCCAGCAGTCTTTCCACTCTGCCCGTATCCTTTCTCCACGGCAGCCTCCTTGCGGGTGTGGACACTCCCACGACAGGGTTCCTGCTTTAACTTCTCTGCACTGGCTCTTCTCTCTCCCCCAGACGCATGTGTAATTAATTTGTTCTTCCTTTTCTCTCGTTGCTGGGACAAATACCTGACCCCCAAAATGAAGGCAGGGAAAGTTCATTTAGCTCACAGTTAATGGAGGATTCAGTCCATACTCAGCTGGCTCCAAGGCAGAGGGGCACATGGCAGAGGGCAGCTGTTCATGGCTGTAGAAAGCAGCGAAGAGCGAGGGTGAAGCCACAGCTGAGACAGCTGGCAAGCCCCTGTCCCCTCCTTCCATTTGTGTGCAGATTATCTGGCCCAGGGCAAGTGTAGCACCCACATCCCTAATCCCAGCACTGGATCATGAATTAATTACAAACTCTACAAGTCCGCCCCATGACTACATGCGGCTTTGGGGGGACACCTATACATAAAAACCGTGACAACTTTGTAACACATCGTATGATTTATGTGGAACTTATATCTTCATTCTCTCGCCACTGAAACATATGGCTCATAGGGAAGAGTCTATTTATGCATATTCTTGTTTTGTTCTGTTGTGGAGGTTTGCTTTAATTGGCCAGTGGGTCTTAGGTACCCAGAACACTGATATCTGCTGTATAGAAATGGGTCATATTTATTTAGTAAACGACCATTTTGGTTTTCAGAAGGCTGAGTACCTTGTTCCTCAGCTTGTGACCCACTCCTGGACTGCCTCTTACCCGCTTGTTACTATCCTTTTTTTTTAAAATAGGGATCCTCACATATGAGAACTTGTACTGTAATGTCATGTAACTCGGTAGTGTCCCAAATTTTCTGATCAAGATTATGGGGCCAAAGAGGAAAGTGATTGATGTGGAGTGTGCCTAAGGAGAGTCACATGGAGAGAAAACATTCTCTCAGGCTTTCACAGAGAGCACATTGGCCAACCAGTGCCTGTGACTCATCCACAGGGCTGACACTGGCAAAGGTTCTACAATCTGAGGTACAGGATCTCAGGATAAATCCTGAGGGGATTTGACTGACCTTATCAGACCCAAAAGCTACAACTCTTGTTGCATAGGTCCTGCTTTACCTTGGTCTTAACCATCCAGCAGAAAAGTATAAAAATAAAATATTAGAAGTAAAGCCATGCTGTTATGTTGAGCTGTGGGGGACTCAGGTCAACAATTTCTGACATTGCCAGTCAAGCGGAAGACCCAATACTATTATGGGCTACTGGACTCTTTTAGAATATTTTGCTGAGTTTACACACCTATAATATTCAAATAATGGAACTTAACCAAAAAAGGGGATACAGATGAATGTTCATTTTGTATCTGTGTATTCAAAGTGGTTAGGATAGATATATAGTTATATTCTCTTAATGAATAGAATGATTTGTTCTAATGGTGTTTGTAAATAGGATCTCAAGTCCGCATCTTGTACAGCAATTAACCACTAAGAAGAATGTATGCAGTGTGTTAATTATTGAAACTGCCCTACCAATTTGTTTTGAAACTGTCTCATTGCTATTTGTTTCTCAATAAAATTATGGGAAAAAATAAATAAATAGGGATCCTCAGAATATGTCTGGAATTTAAAAAAAAAGACAATATCCAGGAAATCCAGGTTTGGACAAATTAATACCATTTACTTTAATTTGCTTTTAATTCTCCTTGGCATCATCACTGCCTGTGAAGGAGTGTGCTTACACTGTGCCCTAGAGTACTGCTGGCTTTTCTTGTCCTTTTCTTCCTAGTTTTTAAGATAGGGTCTTGTTGCACAGGCCAGCCTGGCCTTGAACACACGTCTGTCCTTCTGCCTCAGCCTCCTCGTTTGGGTGCGATTACAGGAGTGCGCCTCCCGCCCAGCCCTCCTGGGCTCCCCCGGCAGCTGTGCTGCCCGGTGGCTTCCGCTGTCACTCCCAGGCGCACGTGGCAGTGCGCGGTCTCCTCCGCTTGTGCAGAGGCTCGGTTAGGAACTGAAGCGAGCTTTGTAAGGGCTGACTCGCCCGGTGACAGGCCCGTTATCATGGGCTTGTTTCTTAATACCTCCCCCAGATTTAAGAGGTTCCTAGGAATTAGTTGCTTTCATGTCTGGCTACAAATCTATAATTGGTTGATGGTATAATATATAACAACGTTATTGCTTAACTTATGAGGCTTACGCTTCATTTGTAAAGTTGAACTTGATTTCTGCTTCTTTTTTTTTTTTCTACATGGAATTTAGCTGTATGGCATTTCCAGAAATATTTTAAGCGTTATAAGTGTAAGAAGCTTGTTTCAGTTTATGTTAGCGCTTAAATTAGTAATTGTGCTATATTTAAGATTCATATTTAGTAGGGTGCTGTATATCTAAGACCAGTAGGACCCACGACCTAGCAGAAATTCTTCTCTTGTGCGCTTTCGTAAGATAAACAGATGTGCGACAACTCCTGGAACCAGGTTAACGAGAAACCTGAGTCTTTAGCCAGGATGAGTAACTCAGGGTTGCACCCCCTCTCACTGCCTCCTTTTTGTCTTCCCTGAAGTTATCTATTGCGCAATTTTACTTTGTTGTTATCCTAATGAAAGGACAACGTTTAAAGGATAGCTTGCCTAGAGTTTGCTTTTGAATCTGTATTTGGTCGCGGGCCATCATGTCATCCAGGAGATTGTTGTATGCGGTAAGTTCGCCTTAAATGTTGCTTCAGTGAATGAATTTCTCTTTATTACACCAAATTAACAAAGAAAGTGACTTTTGCTTTTCTCATTATTTGAAGAAAGGTGACTCTTGTGATGGTGGGGCTTGACAACGCTGGCAAAACGGCCACAGCAAAAGGAATCAAAGGAGGTAAGCTCAAAATATTTTTATGCTTTTTGAACTCGCATATTTTTTCTGAATTATCTACTTATCATGTTAAGTTGCTTTGTTACGTGCTACTTGGGGGCAGACAGTAAGTGCTGCATTTCATTAGATACTTAGTACACTGGGACCAATATGTGTAAACTCTGGCTACATGACAGTCGCCTACCATCACGTTTCGGATTTCATAGATCCAGAGGCTCTTGAGGGCTGATTAACAGGGCTTGTAACTGTGTCCCGCATAATAGGGAGGAAAGCATCGTATACTCGTCCCTAAAGGATACCCATCTTCTACTCGTATTTTATTGACCAGAATTTAGTCACATGGCTGCTCGTACGTGAAATGGAGGCATAGTTAGCTAGCAAAGCGTCTCCTGATGCTGATTCAAACGTGAAGTAGGATTTTTAAGAATTACATTAAATAAGCCTCTTCGTCATTAAATAGCTTTCCATCCCATATACTGAGTCTCTCTGCCACACGTTTGGCTGGTTGGTGTGGACTGAGCGCTCCTCCCCACGTGGAGCAGTGTCTAGGGCAGGGAGTGCTGGGCACCGCGCATGTACCGTCAGCACCGGGTCTTCAGTGTGACCTGGGTGACGAGCTCTCGGGTATTGGTTCCTGAAGATCGGTGGCTGTCGTGGGATGGCTTGCTTATCAAATAGTTAGAGCTTTTATTCACTAATACTTTGCAACACTGAGTGTTAGGGAAGAACAGCAAGTAACCATAAACTCTGTGTGACAGTGCTATAAATTATACAATGTTGTGTAAGGCTTCGCCGTAAAAGCTTTCTGGCACCCACTCTTGTGATATTCTAGGTACTGTGTGACCTTGCAAAGCATCCTCTGTCATTATCCACGCAGGAGTAAGCAACATCTTTCTCTAAAGAGATAGTATTTTAGGCTATGGGGTCAGGTTCTTTCTGAACCATACAAGTCTGACCTGTAATGTGAAAACAGTCGTCAGTGTACCAGTAGATGAGATGAATCACGTCCCAAAGGTAGTTCATTTATGGGCACTACATTTGAATTGAATGTAATTACATGTGTGAGAAAATATTATCTTCAGCCACTTAAAAAGCAGAAATAAGGGGCCAGGGAGATAGCTCAGTGGAATAAGCACTTGCCTGGCAAGCACAAGGTCCTGAGTTCAATCCCTGGTACCACAAAAACAAAGCAGAAATACATTCTTAGCTGTGAGCCACCCCCAAACCAGGAACAAGGCAGGTGGATCTGTAAGCCGTCCCACCTTACATTCAACAAATCGGGTGCTTTAGGGTCACTAATCAGACCATCACATTTGGTGTGTGTATGTAGAACCTCTGGCTCTGCCGGTCCCTCATCCTTTAGCTCCTTTTTCTGGTTTGAGAAAATGCTCAGCATATCCCATGAGAAGATGAAAGTCACGGCCGCCTACATCTTGGAGCCCTCCTATGCTCAGATTTTATTCTTTGTATCTTTTCTGTCCAGCCTACTCCACTGACTGACTCCATTACATTTTTTAGAGATTCCACAGATTTTTTTAAAGATTTGTTTGTATTGTCCCAAATTAACTGTTCTCATGTCTTTGTACTTTTGCTTCTGTAGTTCCTGCTTGTATTACCAGAACAAATAATATGTATCTTTAAACATTTACATTTGTCATATAGTCTTCTCCTTTATATAGCCTGCCTCCAGCCATGTCCATGCCAAGCAGTTGGCTCTGTCCCCATTTTTGTCCTGCCCCTGCTTACACCTGTGACTTAATTGGATGTTTTGTTCTTTTGTGTATCTCTCTATGTTTGCAGACTAAATCCTCCAGGGCCTTTTTAGCCCACACCCTTAGGGATATTAGACATCCCTTGCAGAGATTTTGCGCTCACTCTTTCTTCTCTAGCCTCTCAGCCTGGTTTTTCTCTGTAGTTCTTAGTTTCTTTTGAGATATATCTACCCCCTCTATAAGTATACTCTTGTAGGGTTTTTTTTTGTTGTTTTGTGTTTTTTTCTTCTCTTGTAGTTTAAATCCAGAGCCTTGATATCTTTTATCTGTAATGTCACTGTAGTGCCTGCCTGGTGTGGTCTGGTGTGGCCTGGTGTGGCCTGGTGTGGTGTGGCCTGGTCTGGTCTGGTCTGGTCTGGTCTGGCAGCTCCTCCCCCACATTTCCTTCCTTTCTCTCTTTGCCTTAATGAAGACTGAACTCAGGACCTGGAGTGTTCCGCCCCTGATCTGCAGTCCCAGCCTTCTTTTGTTCTCTTATTTCACCACAGTGGGGTGCCCGTGCTGACCTGTAACTCAGGACCTTCCTGCCTGGAACCCAGCCCTGCCTCTGCCATTCCCCGCGGATCAGTGGCTTCCTCACCTAGAAAGAGCTTCTCTCTCCCGAGCTTTCCTGCTGCAATATCCGCTTCTTCTTGGCTGAGTGATTGCACTCCTTGGGCCTGAAGTCATCGAGGTTCAATAAAGCTGCAGTTTCTTTTCCTCTGGCAACGGCCGAGAGGGCCGTGGGGCCCAGGGTGGCCGTCCGTGCCGCGGGGCTCAGCTCTTCCTCCAGGCCGCGGGGCTGCTGCGCGCGGTGGCCCACCCACGTGCGTGGTCGAGGTAGCTCGCTGCAGAGTGTGCTAGAGCTGGAAGAGGGGCAGGGTTGAGGGGCGGCCGCTCCCTCTGTTAGCCAGAGCGTCAGCCGGAAGCTGCTCTGTGGTTTTCATTCATGTAGCACTGAGCAGACCTCGCACCTGTCTGTTCATTTTGCTCGCGTCAACTAGCAAGAGCCAGCTATGCATGTATCTCCCCAGCTCTGCGTTCCGCAAGGCCAGGAGATAGCTCGGTGGCGTAAGCACCTGCCTGGCAGGTCCTGAGTTGGTACCCCAGTACCAAAAAGGAAGGAAAAAGGCAGTAGCTGGAGTGCTTGGAGCATGGGGATTGGCAGGCACTATTTATCAGCCCTCCCATTGTATGCCTCCTCTTTTTTTTTTTTTCCTGTAGTTATGTATTTGATACAGGGTCTCATTATGCAACTCGCGCTCGCAGTGATTCTGCCTTCAGCCTCCCCAGCGCTGGGATTACAGGCATGCGCCATCACGCCTGGATGGGGATCAAACCTTGGTCCCTGCACTTGTCTAACCAGGGCTTACTCCGCTGAGCTATCTCACTGGTGCCTCACTATACCTCCTAAGCAGCTGTTAAGTGTGTAACATCGTACTACTAATTAGAGCCTCCTGTCATGGTTGCTAGCTGCCACTAAGGCTGAGGATTGTAGTCTGAGCATTCATGATCCTGGAGGGGGAAAAGAAAGCTGGGAATCCCTGACACTCTAATAGGGCTTCCTAAGAGAAAACTACTGTTATGAGTGTGAAAATTTTTGTGTGGTCTGCTCTCTAGTTCCTGTAAGATAACATGGAAATTACTGATTAGTGTGTTTCCTCCTCCTTCTTCTTCTACTTCTCCTTGTACCTCTGCCTCCCCTTCTCCTTCTCTTCCTTCTCCTCCTCGTCCTCCTCCTTCTCCTTCTTCTTGTACCTCTCCTTCCCCTTCTTCTCTTCCTCCTCCTTCTCCTCCTCTTCCTCCTTCTCCTCCTCGTCCTCCTCCTTCTCCTTCTTCTTGTACCTCTCCTTCCCCTTCTTCTCTTCCTTCTCCTTCTTCTCTTCCTTCTCCTCCTCCTCTTCCTCCTCCGAAGCCTTTCTAGTCCAAAACTCAATGCTGCCTTTTTACCTTCTTCCTCTTGAATTCCGTCACACCACCCTTTCCCAGCTTTTGCACAGAACACGCGAATTGTGTTACGCCTTTCAGCTCATCTTTGTCGTAGCACATGTTTTACTGAACAGTGTACATCAGCAGAATGTTCTGTAGCGACGGGAATGGTCTGCATCGGCTCTGTCTAGTACGGCGGGCCACTAACCACACGTGGCTTTTGAGCACTTGACATACAGCTGATATACCTGAGGAACAGAATTCTTAATTTTATCTCCTCCTAATTCAGTTAAAATACAAAAGCCGCGTGTGTGGTGGCTGCTATTATACCCCTGCAATGCAAAACAGACTCACATAGAGTAGCATTTATAGTACATTCTAGCGAATTAGCGAGGAGAAAAGAAGAGATATACCAAGTTGAACTTTTTTCCATAACGCCCGAGGTTTTACTAATCTTTAATAAGTTCTTTCTTTCTGTTCTTTTTTTATTTTCATACCTCTCTGGAAAGTAGCTCTCACTCACTTTCCTTCAGCCTAAAGGCTTTTGCAAGGTGAATCTTAGTAAAGTGCTGTCTCAGTCACTTGAATTGTCTGATTCCCGTGTCGGATCCCTCGGAGGCTCCCTGTTCTCTGGTGTCAGAACCCGCTCGGTCTGGCTGCGGTCCGCAGTCGCCTTCTTAGGGCTTTGCCTCACCGTGGTGTTCGGTTTGTTCTCCGCCTTGCGCTTGCCCAGTGTCCCCTCTCAAATGTCGCTCTGCGTGTGAAGTCCTAGCCAGCTCTCAGCCCTAACTTCCGTCTCCCGCAAGAAGTCTTCTGTGACCTGCAGGGACCCTTAGAACAGTCTTACTGTCTGTCGCTGCCACTTCTTGCAGTTATGCGCGTATGCATCCCGTGCCCTCTTCATGCTGTCGTCTTTGGAAACACACGCTCCTTTTTAAATTACTGGAACATCCGAAGCGTGTTGCTGTAGAAATGAGCGTTACTCGCTTATCTTGCAGACAGCCTGGCAATTCTCCTTATTCCAGTTTTAGCTTTAATTTGTCCAATTAATAGAGGGTTGTCTGACTCTTTGTTAATTCTCCAATTTTTTTGATTCTTCTAAACTTTTTTTATTCTTCAAATGTTCAGGCTTTTCTTTATGATTCCACAGAAGTTGTAACAGTCCCTGGAACTGGCTGTGTTGTTGAAGAATTGAAATCTTTATGCTTGTAAATCGAAGGATAAATAGCCTTAAAGACAAGAGCTCATTCATTAATTAATACGTACCTACATGTGTTAGGTGCTAGTAGTATACCAGTTGTTTTTTTTTTATGACAAATTCCTGTTGCATGAAGTGAAAACTCTAGTTGAGTATTTGATTCTATCTAGTGTCTGCATAGTGGACAGACATGGAGAGAACGCCTGCGGTGTAAGCACGTGGTAACTGTCCCACTTAGTACGAAAGTGTGATGAAGAACAATTTTCGTGACATCTAAGTTATAAAGTTAATGTTATTAGCTTCAAGTCTAAAGATTGTTTCTCTTGTGTCATTTGAAACAGAGCACCCTGAAGATGTAGCTCCTACAGTTGGATTTTCCAAAATTGACCTTAAACAAGGAAAGTTTGAGGTCACCATCTTTGACTTGGGAGGTGGAAAAAGAATTCGGGGGATTTGGAAGAACTACTATGCAGAGTCCTATGGGGTGATATTTGTTGTGGATTCCAGTGACGAAGAGAGGATGGAAGAGACGAAAGAGACAATGTCAGAAGTGCTAAGACATCCCAGGATATCAGGAAAGCCTGTGTTGGTGTAAGTAATATTTGTGTTATTGTAAACCTAATAGCGGTGACATTGGCTAGTGAATTTATCTGTGACAGCATAGTCAATCAGGGAAGAGTTGTGTCCTAGTACAGTGAAGTACCTGTGAGTTACTAGCGCGCTGTGGCTGGCGTATAACATTGTCTGCAGCGATGAAGAGGTGGGGGCTACTCCAAGCAACCTTATAATTAGATGGGTATTCAGCTCTGTCGTGCCTTAAGATTGACTGTTTAGTAAATTTTGCCTTTTTAAATAGTCTGAACAGAGTTCGAGAGTAATTTTCAATTTTTTCCCTTTGTTTAATAACAGTTTTCTCTTTTTGCAGGGGAGAGTATTTGATAATTATTTAAGTGGCTTATTTTTCTAATGCCACATTGAGTTCTTCATCTTTATAAACTTCTACCACTCCGTGTCGCAGTTCTCATCTATATTATTTGTCCTGGTGCCTGAACAGCTTGTTTGTTTATTTATTTCTATTTATTTGGTGCAGGGTCTCGCTCTGCAGCTCGGACTGGTAGTGAGCCTCCTGTCTCAGCCTCCCCAGTGCTGGGCGTACAGGCATGTGCCACCACCCTGGACGGGGCTGCCGGCTCAGTTCACCCAGGGGCAGGGTTTGTGCAGCAGTGCTGCTGGGGATCGAACCCTGGTCCCTGCACTTGCCTGAGCTGGCGCTTCGTCTGTTGAGCTATCTTTCCAGCCCCTCTGAATACTTTTTAAGCTCTCACAGTGGACTTTTGCGTGCGTAGCATTCGGGCCGCGGGCACACAGGTGCCTCGAGTGTAAGTGTGCAGTTGCTCTTCCTTGAGGGTGGTGGACACCGCCGTTGAGTGTAAGTGTGCAGTTGCTCTTCCTTGAGGGTGGTGGACACTGCTGTGGCCGCCTCATCCCTTTTCCCTCATTTTGTGAGTCATAACAAGGCTTTCTTTTTTTAATTGACTTACGTGGTTAGGTGAAAATTTTAAGTATAATTTCTCAGTGATCTTCTGTGGTAAATGTAGATTTTTTAAATGTGGCAGTTTGAAAGCTTTAATTACAAAAGTCACAACTTTATGACGTCATTTACTGATAAAGCTTATGTGCTTCCAAATTTTTATATATTTTAAGAGAGAATTCATTTTGTTTATATTATCAAATCTTACCTTTATTGAATCGTAAATCAACTTCAATAGTTGATTCAATCTGAAGTAGCTTTCAATATGAAAGTGAACTTTGTTGAACGCCATAGGCTAGAGCAGTCTCTATAGATGTTTAAGCAAAGTCAGTAATTTCTAAAGGATGAAATAGCAATGACTGTTCATCATTTATGAAATAATTGTGTGTGGATTTTAACCAGAGAGGCTCAGTAGAATAAGTGCTTGCCTGGCAAGTGCAAGGGCCTGAGTTCAATCCCCAGTTCTGCCAAAAAAACAAAACAAAAAAACTTCAACCAAATAATCTTTAATTTGGTCTTTCGTGTGTGCATTGACTCATTCATACGTTTAAAAATTCAGCACATATTTTAGAGCACCTACTGTGTGCCAGCCGTTCTGGTGAGCTATGCGTGTGGAAACGAAAGCATCAATCTGGCTCCTTGCTGCCCTCGGTATTTCCTGCCCCACGGATGCCAGTAGCTTCCTCCTCTGTGATGCCCGGCTTACCTGCCTCTTCTGCTTGGAGCCATTGGGCGGTGCACAGACTAAGACCCGGAGCTGGGCCAGGGTAAACTCTTCCTCCTCTACATTCCAAGGGTCAGGTATTTTGTCCCAGCCAGGAGAAGGTGACTGAGATCACATTTTTGCATCCAGTTGGCTGTCCGTGGACGTCTTGGGTGATTGTGTGTCTTGGCTCTTGTGGATAGTGCTGCAACAGACCCAGGTATTGGTCTCCTCGACAGTCATCTCTTTGATACAGTAATTTCAGTCTCTGTACTTGTTACAGGTTTTCTGTGGCTTTGTGGTTTCTGTGTCTTCTCAGTAATCTAGTAGGTTTCTGTCTCCAGAAATGTATATACATCTGAAAGATTTTCTGGTAGATCAGGTAGGTGTTCACAGTGATCCTTAGTGAACATTGTGTCTGTTGCGTCAGTTGTATTGTCTCCTTTTTGTGTGTGACGTCTTTATTGGAAATTTCTCTATTTTTTTCTTAACTTTTATCTATTCAAAAAATCTGTTGTTTCCTTGGTTTTGTAGGTTTTGGTCTCTGTTTTACTTGTTTCTTCTCTCATCTTTTTAATTTCTCTTCTTGTACTAATTTTGGGTTTGGGATGTTCTTTTCCAATTCCTTGAGTTACTTTACTGTTTATTTGAAGTCTTTTTGTTTCTTTTATGCAGATTCTCATTGCTGGAACATTTTTAGAATTCCTTTTTCCATATTCAACAAATCTTGTTATGTTGTGTCTTCACTTGTTTCAAGAAATTTTTAAGGTTCTCCTTTAATTTCTTCTTTGACCTGGGAGCATCTCAAGAGAATATTGTTTAATTTTCCCTTATTTTTAAAATTTTTTGTTATTGTTTGTGTCTAGTTGTTCCCCCAAAGCCTCATGTAGTCATAGGGTGGGACTTCTAGAGTTTGAGATTAACTCATGATCCACTGGGTTATGGGTTTTAGTAGTGCAGGGATTACGGGTCCGAGTGCTACACCCAGCCTGGGATGGATAACCTGAATGTAATACAAGAGAGAGAGAGAGAGAGACAGACTTGCTCTCTGTTGCTGCTGCTGCCTGTTGCTGCTGTTGCTGTTGCTGCTGCTGCTGCTCCTCCATTGTTCTCTCTGCTCTTTGCTGCCTCTATGAAAGGCTGCTCTCTGCCACGTGCTGCTCTGCCTTGGAGCTAGCTGAGTGTGGACTGACCCCTCCAGTAACTGTGAGCTAAATAAACCTTTCCTTCCTTCATTTTGGGTGTCGGGTGTCTGTACCAGCAACAAGGGAGGAGTAGCTGAGACATTTCTAAGCTCTTTGTGTCGATTTCCAGTTTTATTCCACCATGATCAAAGAAGGCCCGTGCTACAGTTTCGAGGGTTAGTTTCTCACATATTTTCTAGGCTGACATGGTCTATCTTAGAAAATATTCTGTAGCTGATGAGAACAATATATATTCTGTCATTGTTGGATGGACCGTGCTCTAGAAGTCTGTTGGATGGTATTTTTTCCATAGTACAGCTCTTCTGTTTCTTTGTTGACATTTAGTCTGGGTAATCTGTCCAGTGATGAGAATAGGATGTTGAAGTCCTGGATTACCCTTCTATTGGTCTGTGTTTTCTTGAGATCTAGTACTCTGCTTTATATAATTCCATGTCCAGGTGTTGGATGCATGTGTGTGTTATAACTGACCTTTCCTCTTGAATCTATCTCTTAGTGATTCTGTAGTAATCATCTTAGTCTCCTTCCGCAGGTTTTGATTTAAAGTCCTTTTTATCTTTGAGAAGTAGAACTACTTCTTTTTGCGTTTGGTTCCCTTTGGCGTCTCTTCACTTTTCGTCTCTGTGTCCACACTGATGACACAAGTCCCTGCACGCAGGTGAAAGGCTCATTGTTTAGCCTATCTAGCCAGTCCACCTCTTTATTTGGAAATGTCATCTATTTACATTTTTGAAATTATTATTATTGTTATTGTTGTTATTATTACTGTTTTGGTACTGGGAATCAGTACTGGGAATCAGGTGCTGCGCTGCAGAGCCCCCCGTAGGGTGTCGCGGGCGCTCAGGCCCCATGTGGTGGGCATTGCTCTTCCGGCCCTGATCCAGCTCTCTGAAGTCGGGCAGGCTTCCGGTGCTTCTGTGTATGGAATCTGACAGTTTCTGTGTGTTGCCTGGGGACAGGGCTGCTCTGTTGCGTGTGGGTGTGCTGTATAACTGTTACCTGTTAGTGTTGAGGTCTTCATGGGGACAGGGCCACATAGGGGTCAGGCCACACCAATGGCTCCGGACCAAGAGGTGCCTGCCAGTGCCTGAGGGCTCTCGGGGTTACTTTGTGTGGCCGCCAGTGGGCCAGCTTGCTAAGGGAAGGTTGCACGGCTGATTTCCAGGGGTGAGGTTGGGCCAGGCTGCTTGTGTTCTTTTCAGGGGGTTAGTAGTCCAGTCTTCAAGAGTTGCTCAAGTGCTTTTTGGGTCTGGTGGATGGTTGCATGCCCTGTTGCTCCTTAGGGGCTTTGGCAGGCTGAGCCACTCAGGCTGGGTTCTCCTCAGCTTCCCTGGATCATGCATTGGTAGGTGGTGCTACCTGGAATAGGTCCTACTGGCTGCTTTTAGCCAGATTTGCAGTGAGAATTGGTGGTAAAAGGGAGAGCAGAAAAATTTGAGAAGCGTGAATGTTGGCCTAGAGAGAAGCTATAAAGTTGAGGCCAAAGAATATGTGATTGTTGAAGCGACTGACCGCTAAGAAAGAAATTAGGTGGGTTTTGTACATGGAAGAGGAGGAGGCTATCTTGAGCCTTGAAATGAGCAAGGAGCCGCGCACCGAGGCTCATTCATGGTTCCAAAACAGACTTTCACTGGAACAGGTAGTGCCTGCACCTCTCGATGCAGACGGACCTCCTGCAGAGTTGGCTGCCGGCATTTATTTCACCATGTTCAGGCATCCAGGTACTCAAAGGCCACGGCAGCCATGGAAGGGGGCCTGAGATTGCTCTGCCTGGAGGCAGACATCGATGTCGTCGTGTGATGGCTGGCTTTACCAGTGCAGCCTGCAGGAGTTGTGGGGTCATGCAGGCTTCCACTCGGATTTCAGAGGAAGTTCTGGAAAGCCAAGCAAGGAGGGTGGGGAGGCCGTAAGAATGCAGCCCCAGATTCAGCGGGTACCCCCGCAGGCATTCTTTCCTTTGGTTGATGTTTCTCAAATTCCAAAACTGATATACTCTTCTTATAACAATGAAACAATGTGAAAATGTGCAAAGAGTAAAAGAGCACTCAGAACTTACTTTAGTTACCTTAATAACTTGGATAACGTTGTCCTACGCCTAAGCCTCATAATAAATTTGGCTAGAAACAACTTGAGTGCTTAGTGCTTGAATGCTACC